AATTAACTTCTTTCGGATTTGTAAAGTTTTTGGAAATGTGATCAATTGATCAATTGATTAATAACTTCTATTAGTTTTTAGCTGACTATATTGAAAAAATCAATAGAATTCAATTTTTCTGTACAACTTATTCAATTGAAGTATTTTCTATAGAAATTCCGTAGCTAATTTTTTTGTAATTTTTTAAAAGAGAAAAATTGATAGAAAGTGAAAAACTAGAGTGGAAAAAACTTGGACAATTAATGTCGAGGAATTTCTATAGAAAAGGTCTTAATAGAAAAAATTGTCTAGAAATCTGAAATTCTTGCGATTTTACCTATAAAATATTTTTTATTGGACATTTACTATTAAAAAATGCGCAATGAACCTGCGGAATTCTTCCATATAACTAAAAACAAATAGAATTTTCAATAGAAGTCCAATAGAAATCTAATAGAATTTCCTATCCAATTTGCTAGAAAAATTCTATTAAATTTCTAGTGAATTTTCTATTAAAAAAATTGACAAATTATCTGCGCGTTTTTTTACAATAGGAACATGTAGTAGAAAATATTCAATAGAACAATCAATAGAATAAGTTTTTTCTATACAACTTATTCTATAGAAATTTCGCAGTTTAATTTTTTTGTGATTTTTTAAAAACGAAGAATTGATAGAAATTGAGAAAAATTAACTGGAAAATCTTCATGTGGAGGAATTTCTATAGATTTCTATAGAATTTTTAATAGAAATCCAGTAGAATTTCCTATCGAATTCGCTATGTTTATTATGCCTCTCGGGAATAAAAAAAATACTTCATGCCACATTCAAAAGTCCAAAAATTCAATTTTTCTAGAAACAGTTCTTCAACAGGAGCTGCCCCCTCGCACATTCCCAGAATTAATTCCCTTCTCGCAATTTTGATTGAATTGGAATTTCAATTTTCTAAGATACGCTTCGCCATCGCATTGTGCAAATCGACAGAGATAATTTGTGTTCAATTGGTCCTGCTAGATAACTACATCGATAGAATCACATTTTATAAAATTGCTGTAAAACGCAATGCACTCCACCTAAAGTTAAATTCCACGCCCCATTCAATGCTTAAATTCGTTGAGTTATCTGATTACACGAATCCGTCACATGTTAAAACAAAGAATTGACACATTACTTTTAGTTAATTGTATTCAAAATTCACTCGAAAAAACGTGGCTCAAATCGCGTGCGTTGATCCCATGTCATTGTTTACATTTTTATTATTTCTGGTTATCTTTCGTTAATGATTTTTAAACGCTGATTGATAAACCTAGCTACTTTCTTATCGTTTATTAGGGTTTAGTAATTTCAATATGAAAATTCGAGTGATTACAAATGTTGGTCGTAGTGATTCAACCATCAGGCGTAAATTATTCAATATTTTTTCGTCGATAAATTTAATTCTATATTCATTTTTTCATTTCTGAGGTGAATTTTTTCAATTGAAAACTCGAATAAATTTACTTTTCTACTTCATTTCAGAGGATGAAGCAAAGGTTCTGGTCTTAATTAAAAAAACAAGTCCTATTTTGCGAAATAATAAAAACTTTTAAAAACAGAAAACATTTTCAAATAAAAAAAATCTGAAATTGAGTTCTTTTTTGTATTGAGCGAAAAAAAAATTGATGCCAAGTGGAATGTCAACCCCAAAGTATTGCATGTACCCAATCCAGCTGTTCCCCGAACAATTTTTGTATTTAATTATCGATGTTATTTCACAAAAGTTTGAAGCCCCGAGGGCGTTCGGTACAGCTCCAAGACTTTTTCGTTTTGCTAAACTGTTTCTTTGACGTTTGTCAACAAACGTCGGCCCAAGTATCGATTGCGTCCGTTTGACAACAAATACGTGTGCCAACTCCCCTCGAATGTCGTGCACCATGTAAACAATTTGTCTGCCGTTCTCGGATAAAATAAAATGGCACTTCCAACGTAAATTGTTGAATGAAACTTCAATTTCGGGTTTTTTTCGTTTGTTTGTTTTGAGAGGTTGTCCTCCATCCAATGGATATCTTTCCGTCCAATAAAATGTATTATTCATTGACATTACGTGAAAAGAGCGAGAATTGCAACAAATATTTTACAGAAACAAAAACTTTCAAGTTATTCAGAATTGAATTGATAAAACGAAATGTGTTAATGCTTCATCATCAGTTTTTGATGAGTATCTCTTCATGTAATGGAGATAGCAAATTTTTTATAAGAACCTTTTTTATAGAGAAAATCAAGATCTCCAAAAAAGGTTCTTATAAAATTTTCGCTATCTCCATTAGATAACGAGATATTTACCAAAAACTAAAACCAAAATTGTGAAAATTGTCCATTTTACCTTTTTTCTTTTAATCGCGAATTTTATTTTGGATCAACGCTCAAAGCTCTGTGCAGACTCGACTGAAGAGTTTCGTGTGATGAAGGCTGAGATTAGAGACGGGGTAAGAAATAGTGAGAGGAAAAAAAACCGAAAGAGAGAAAACAATCCGATAACGATCCCTGAGTAGTCTAGTCTACGACTGGGGAATTCTTTCACACGTTTTACTCTTTTATCCATTGTTCTCACTTTAAAATGGATTCACTGACGCGTCTGGCCAAACAACTATCGCGATTGTACCTTCTCTCGAGTCTCACTCATCGTTTCCTTCAGCCAATGGCCTCGGTACAGTTTCATAATCACTTTCATTTTCTGTGCTAATTGCATTGATTCTCATTCTCATTGAATCATTCTCATTCGAGGGCGCGAGTATCTGTTGATTCTGTGAACTGCCGGGGATAAATGAAATGCCAATCGATGAGGATTGTTGTTCATCCATTTTTTGGGATTTTTTATTTGAAAACGATTTTTGTGGCAACGATTCTGTGGCACCAAAATTCATTCGGAAGCAAAAAATACAAATCGCTGGGGTAAATTACTGAGAATTCTCATCAAGTGTGAGTTTCACGGAAATTTTGAGGAATTTCGTCAATTGAAAATTTAGAACTTGATGAAAATCAATGACAAGTGTAAATTTTTGTTCGATCGTTCATTTGTGAAGTCTGAAATTTCCATTTTTTTGTGTTAGAGTAACTAATTTTGAAACCAATATTCTGGGAAAAGTAGAAAATTTTAATGTTGGGGCAATGTTGGGCTAATGTTGGCTGGCAATATTGGGCTAATGCTGACTGGAAATGTTGGGAAAATGTTGGCTGTCAATGCTGGGCTAATGTTGATTGCCAACGTCGGAGGAATGTTGGATTCAATGAATCATTGAATTCAATTCAAAATACATCGTCATAAAAATCCATTGAGAAGCAAATTGCTAATTAATTAGCAAAAATCTATTGACCAGGTTGTGACGAAAGCAATTTCCCACTAGCTTAATTTTTTATCCGATTATTACTCTCAACATTAATTGTTAATAATTATTATTCCGAGACTGCTAAAAATGAATGAAAATAAATAGAAATGAACAACTAAAAACAGTAAAGCACAATTACCAGAAAAAATTCGATTGGACTTATGAAAAAAATGAGGCAGAATTTTTTACAATAAATAACATCATTGCACTACTTTGTAAATGCCATTTTTGAACGTGAAATTTACCCTCTGCCTGCAAACCCATTCGTCAGAAATGAAACCCCCAACAAAGGCCTTAATATATTCTTCCCATATGCCCCAATAAAAAAACCTTTAAAAAATTGTAATTTTTTGACGCCACGGATATCGTACTTTGCCCTCCCCCTTTTAACTGATGGCTCGTCCTAATCGCTGCCCTCCTTTCCTTACCTTCCCCTTTTGTGATCGATAAACACCCACCGGAGGTTCTCCGAATCTCTCGACATAGCACGTATGCAACGCGCCTGTTTTCCACATATTAAATTCCAAATTTTTTACACCGGATTTGTTGAGAATTCATCTGATCTATTGCAATCTTCGGATATTCCGAACTAACGTCAAATATTTTTTGTGAATGGGAGGAACAAATTTCTTGAATTGTGAATATTGTCATTGAATCAATAACAATAACGAAGGGATAAAACGTAACAAAACAGAACAGTTCGATTTTTCACATCATTTTTTTCCTTTCATACTCAATTATTCCGATGATAAATTTTTTCAGAGGAAAATTTTTAGCGTTTTTAAAATTATTATTTAGTGTCATTAAAATTATGGATTAAATCTTGAATAAAAAACAATATTATCAGCGTGAGAATTCGTTTCTCCCCTCTGTCAATGTCATATTGCCTGTTCCATTCGTCTATAAATTTTTTATCAACTAGTAACGCATTTTATTTATAAATATCTAATATAGTATATATCAGTATTCAATGGCTATAAATCGTATTTACTCACGCAATCTAATTCACCTTCACTCGTGACCCAACAGCTCGCCCATTTACACAATTTCACGAGAAGAGTTCACAGAAAAACCTAGCCAATTTGCTAGACATTTTTATCGGATTTCGATTGAACCTCTATTAAAAAATTTCGGAAACTCAATAGTGAAAAGATAAAACGATTCAAGTCAATTTTGGCTTTAGCTGGGTTTTCCACGAATATCTCTGAATCTGAGGGAGATAACGAAATTTTTGTAATAACCTTTTTTGTAGAGCGAAGTGAGGGCTACGAAAAAGGTCCCAATAAAAATTTTGCTATCTCCTTTAGATTCCGAGATAATCATTGAAAATTGGTGAATAGTCAAAATCTTGAACTTAAAAACTTCAACATTCTATAGAAATTCCTCTCCTAGAATTTTCCAGGTGTTTTTCACTCAATTTTTCTTCTATTTTCATTGAAAAATGAAACGAAAAAAATTGAAAAATTTGAGCAGAAGAATTTCTACGGAAATAATCGAATTCTATTGATTTTTTCTATAGAAAACAGGAAATCCAATAGAATTTTCTAGCGAATTCGCTGGACTTTCCTGCAGAATTTCTTGTACGCATTTACCTAAATTGAATGATCAAGGAAACAACGTATTACCTATTTATTTATGTTTATTTTTTGGTTTCAGTTGGATTGAAGGATTCATAAGTGCTCATCCAGTGAACACATCTATATAATTTTAATTCCTCCTGGAGGCAGAGCCACTCATCTGCCCGAGAAAAAAAACTATCAGAGGAGAGTGGCGTCAGCATTAAAAACGTGAGTACATTTCTTCGTTATGTACATTAAAATTCAATTGAAAAAATCACAAGCGGAAAGGCCATCTCCTCTGGATAAACAGAAATGCTCATTATGTTCTGTGGTAAATGCAGAATTGTTTCAGTGGTTATTTTGTATCTTTGGCCCTGTTATGTTGTCTGCTGTGCAATACAAACGACACGAGATGAAAAAAAAATTCTCATTAAATATAAACAAGGGAATGTGCCCTGTTTTTACATTTAAAATTCGCTTATTCCCCCGCAACCATAGGAATATTCGGGATATTAAAGAGGAACAGTCTCTGCAATGCTATGGATTTTCAAGAGATTACAATTGCTGTCTTTTCCTCGACTCTAAAATCGACAAAAATTAACTTTTATTTCCTGGATTTAATTAATATCAACTGCTATTTGTGGAAATTTCAAAGGATTTCGGCATTAAACTCCACGATTTTAATTGTCAAGGAGGCAGTGGGGTAAAAAATGAACACTTTTTATGCATTGCATTTGTTAAAATCGAAATTTCCAATTTTCCGTGTCAGGATAACTTGTTTAAGCCTCAGGAGTTTGAATATCATATTTTTATTTTTTTAATCCTATTTATATTCTTCGCGATATCATCTTGACTGAGTTCGATCATGAGATTGATTTCATAATTTGCTGCCGAAAAAATTTATTTTGAAACCAATATTCAGGGAATGGTAAAAAAATTTAATGTTGGGGAAATGTTGGCTGCCGACATTGAGCCGATGTTGGGACGATGTTGGCTCTTAACGTCGGGCAATGTTGGCTACCAACGTTGGGAGAATGTTGGCTGCCGACATTGAGCCAATGTCGGGTGCCGACATTGGGCCCACGTTGTGACAACATTGGCTGCCGACCTTGGGCCAATATTGGTAGTCAACGTCGGGGCAATGTTGGCAGCCGACGTTGTGGCTATGTTGAATTCAATAAATCATTGAACACAATTTAAAAAACACCGCCATCGATATTCTATTCAGAAGCAAATTGCTAATTTATTAGCAAAAATATGTTGACTACGTTGTTATGACGGAAACAATTCACTTGTTCGAAATTTCAATAGTTCATTGAATTAATAAAATGGAATAACCATTGTTTCCGTGAAAAATAAAACTCTTCCTCCTCGAGATGAGCTTAGACTGATCTCAATTCGTGAATTTGTTCCTGAGTTATGAACACTGAAAAAAAATGTTGTGTCCATTTTCCCCCATCCACCGCTGCGCATGCAACAATTAAATTAATTCCAGTTAATCAAAATTTGGCATTCGTTGCATCGAAAAAAACGCACAGAAATAAAATTCTCCGAGAGCCAATTCCACTGCAAAAACGTCTCCAAAAATCCCAAAATCGTAATAATATTCAGACACTGGTGGTGATTTGTTCGATAACTGTGACATCCCGATAACGCCTGGGTCTCGGTCGATACGTATCATGATTGCCATGAAGTCCTTCAGGTACACTCTTGCTCGGCCTAAGGGTATGGTGATGATGATAAGGGACAGATTGGCAGTAGTGATGTTCCCCAGAATGTATACAATTGTGCTCAGGCATCTCGTGATACTGCGGATGCAGCGGTGTCTGTGGTTGATCCCTCATCTCTTGTTCAACATCTAAGGGTACATGGAGTGACTGGGATTTTGGTAAACGCTGCCTAGGTGGTGGTGGACAGGCGCATGGCGGTGGCAATTGTTGACTAACGTGAGACAATTGTGATGCATGAAGTACTGGTGAGGACGGCTGTCTACCCCAGCCAACGAGAAATAGAAGGCCAGCACCACATAAGGAACTTAAGGTGCAAGCGTAGTAACCAACACGTGGAATACTTGCGTTCATGTAACCTGAGGGAAATTCAATTTATCGCATGAAATTTTGAAAAATTATTTGGAAGGGAGTGAAAATAGGTTTATCAAATCAGTTTATGGCTCCATCGATATATCGATCCATTTTTATCAACAAGTACATAATTTTTCATAGATTTGCAATGGAGTTCTAATGGAACTCCCATGGAATTTTCATTGAGTTCCGATAGAAATTCAATAGACTCCCTGGAACTTCGTAAATTCATATTTTTTCATAGATTTTGAATAGAATTCTGGTGGAACTCCACTGGACTTATCATGGAGTTTTCCAATAAAAAGTGAAGGAAATCCCTAAAATCCCATAAATTTGTTACAGAATTTGCTATTTATTTCATTTTATTCATTACCTATAATTTTCTATAGATTTTCAGTAGAATACTAATGGAGCTCCAACAAAATTTTCATAGAGTTCCGGTAGAAATTCAATAGAATTCGTTTATAGATTTTGAATTGTGATAGAATTCCGCTAGACTTTTTATGGAGTTCCAATAAAAAAACAATGAAATTTCGGAAATTCCGGGCATTTATAACCCATAAGTTTCTATAGATTACCAATATAATTCTGAAGGAACTCCAGCAGAATTTGTATAGAGTTCCGATAGGAATTCAACAGAATTCCTAGTTTACTAATTCATAGTTTCATATTTCTCCATAGATTTCCAGTAGAATTCTAATGGAACTCCAATACACCCCTTACGGAGTTCCAATAAGTACATCGATATATCGATCCGCTTCATCGATACGCATCTAATATATCGACATTTTTTTCTATATTTTCAACATTTTTCTCGAAATTAAATTTTCTAAAAAATACTTTGGAAGATAATAAGGGCATTAAGAGACATCACAGGTACTCCAGAGAGTTTTTACGGCTTGAAAGCTCACAGGAAAAGTCAAACAATTTCAAACTTCTTGAAATTGTTTCTCAACTATCTCGAGAACTAATTGATGAAGAAATTAAAAGTAATGAAACGGGACATTTCACTGAGTCTTTGATGGTCTTATCATTCACGATTGAATGGTACTTTTGCGCGCAATTTTGCTCTCACTTCTGAATGAAAGGTTTCATTGAAGTTCCAGCAAGTACGTGAATTTTTATCGACTGCTCTTATCGACAATTTTATTTCAATTAAAGTGGTATCAGATCCGCCGAATGAAATGGTGGTGCGAGATTTTCTCGGCGTTAATTATGTCATTTTATTCGATTCATTAAGTCTTCACGGATGCATTCAACAGCCGGGTTCCACCGACTGATTGAGCAAATAATCCTGACGCGAGAGGGAATTATAAAAATGTTCCCAGGTTTTGAACTTTCTCGGGTGACTTTCGACTTGTCTCTGAGCATCTACTCACTCTCACTTGGGTTTAATTTCGTTCATGAGAGACGATCAGATGTAATTAGTTTCAATTGTTAGCAATGGTGATGACGGTAGCTAATTTACCTCTCTCCATCTTACTTGCGTTATTCTCTGTCTTTATATTAATTCGTGGATGGCTTTCGCTGCATTGTTAGTAATTTATGAGAATTTAATTAAGTGTTGCATCACAATTTTCTAGGTTTTTACTCTGAATTGAATTTGAGGTGTAAATGTTCATTGAATTTTTCATTGATCTATTTATTTATTTATTGGCTTTTTATTGGCATTTGGCATGAAGTTCCAGTAATAACCCAATGGAATTCTTGAAAGTCCATAAATTTCGAATTTCATAATTTTATTTAGTTCTTCAATAGAGTTTTAACGGAACTCCGCAAGAGTTCTTGTGGAGTTCCAATAAACAATCCAATTTAATTTCTGAAGTTCTGTAAGTCCATAGCTTCATAATTTTATTTAGATATTCAATAGAGTTCTAACGGAACTCCGCAAGAGTTCTTGTGGCGTTCCAATAAAAATCCAATATAATTCCTGAAGTTCTGTAAATTCATATCTACTCAATTTTCTTTAGATTTTCAACAGAATTCTTACGGAACTCCGCAAGAGTTCTTATAGAGTTCCAATAAAAATCAAATCGAATTCTCAAAGTTCTGTGAATCCATAGCTACTTAATTTTCTTTAGATCTTCAATAGAGTTCTAACAGAACTCCGCAAGAGTTCTTGTGGAGTTTCAATACAAAAATCAATAGAATTCCTGGAATTCATAAAATTTCTTACGGAGTTCCAACAAGAATTTAATAAAATTTCTACGTGGACGCATTATGTTCTTCTATCAAATCAACTGGATGTTGGATTTTAAAAAATAAAATGACGGAAATTCTGAACAGAATCAGTTTCAATGATTTCAATTTTTTCTTCATACTAACCAGTGAGAGGAACTCCAAGAAGAATTGGCAGCGCTTCGGCGGCTTGAACAAGTGCCCAAGATCTCGCAAAGTGTCGGGCGCGTAATCTCTCCAGCGCTAGCATCTTGAGTGAATAGAGGGCACCACCAAGTGATGCACCGTACAATCCAGAGGCTAATACCAGACCATGGTAACCCTCAACACTGCCAAGTGCTATTTGTGCTAGAGCTGCAAAATGAATAAACTGGGCGTTAATTTTCCAGGCGCAATGACAATAATCGACTAGTCGAGTTTGTTTGCACGATAAACACTTGAGAAGGATAATCCAAATTTTACGGTTTTATTTGTCACTGGAAAGTCGGTGAAATTTAGCGATTCGTAACGCCAGCAAATGCAACTTCCGCTCGACTGATTCTCCACCGGGAATTGGATTTATTTTTTCATTCCTGGGGAGATTTGAATCTTCAATTTCAACATGAGTGATGACATTATTACCTCGAAAGTTCTTTGAATGTAACGGAAAACTTTCGCTAACGTCTCAGACAACTGAGACCTCTTATCTCCCTATTCCACTTCATTTCAAAATTTCATCTCCACGGGAATCGTTGAACGAAGTACTTCAGCACTTTAGCTCCACTTTCATTCGGAATTTTCAATTTCCATGATTTCCGCGGGGAGAAAATAATTCCCTTGAATTGAGGATATTGCTCCTAATTTCGATCTCGTCATTTTTTAGAAATTTTTGACAAATAAATAGGAGAAAAATTATTTATTCTTCGTTGTCTGTAGAAGTAAGGAATTTTCTACTCAATTTGAGTGAGAAATATTTTCGATTCAAGAACAGTTTAAAAACAGTTTAAAATTATGAAATTTGAGAGAGCCCAAATTTTTACTATCCAATTTATTCATAATTATTAACATCTCCTCAGAGCAATAAAAAATAATCCTTGAATTATTGATAATATTCTCAATTAAAAGCCCGTAATTATCACTCCAGAAATAATTGGATAAACCCAACCATCCAATTACCTCTAATTAGAATTGAATTTAATACTGGGATCGTTAAACCTGACACGATAATTATTCAATTGGTAATACAACCATTGGATGTCATCGCGTACAGGTTGGATACGCGCACAAGCCCCTGCGCTTTGCTCATTTGCAATTCATAACTGTGCCAGTTGCAGACTTCACGAAATAGAGAAAAACATCTGTGGCTCAAACATTCTCTCAATTTATAACAGTTAAAATCGAAGGGCATTTTCTTGCCAAGAGGCATTTGCACGTGTCGGATAAAATGAAGATGGAAATTTTGTTGCTGTGAGAATCCCCGCGGCTTTCTCCCTCGTTCTCACATCGTTGTCGTAAAACATGGCAAATATTTTTCACGGATATATTGTCTCTGCTGGGTACTTTGAATTTACAGTTTCCTTATCACTGGTACAGTACCAACTCGTGTCTGTATTCGTAATGTCTAGTGGAAAATGTTGACCTGCTGCACTGTAACGAATTCCTAAAATTCTATGAATTTATGAGTTCATCGTTTTTTACAAGTTTTCAATAGTGGAACTCCAAAAGTGGAACTCCAATCCTAATGGAACTGCAACAGACTTGTCATAAAGTTACCATAAGATTCAATGGAATTCCTAAACATTTAGACATTGATAATTTCATAAATTACTATGGATTTGCTATGGAATTCTAATGGAACTTCAATCGGTTTTTTATAGAGTTCCAACAGAAATTCAATAGAAATTCCTAGAACTTCATAATTCCATAATTTTCTACAGATTTCCAATGCAATCATAATGGAACTCCAATAGAATTATTGAAGTGTTCCAATAGAAATTCAACAGAATTTCCGAAATTCCATGAATTTATGAGCTCAGGATTTTTCATAAATTTTCAATAGAATTCTCATGGAACAAACTTCTTACAGAGTTCTATCGGGAATTTAACAGAAATTCCTAAAACCTCATGAATTCACAATCCCACAATTATCTATAGATTTCCAATGAAATTCTAAGGGAATTCCGATAGAATTTTTAAAGAGTTCCAATAAAAATTCAACAGAATTTCCAAAATTCTCTGAATTTATGAGTTCAGCATTCTTCATAAATTGTTAATAGAATTCTAACGTAACTGCAACAGACTTCTTGTAGAGTTCCACTAGGAATTCAATGGAGTTCCTAAAACTTCATGCATTCACAATTCCATAATTTTCTCTACATTTTCAATAGAATCCTAATGAAATTTTTCAGAGTTCCGATTGGAATTTAATAGATTTCCTAGAATTTCATCTATTTTCCAAAGACTTCTGATCATCTCCCGGTTTTTGTCCCCTTGTTCTTACATCCTTACGATAAACACAGCGAACATTTTTCACGAATATATTGTCTCTGCTGGGTACTTTGAATTTACAATTTTTCTTATCACTCGTACAGTACCAACTCATCTCTGTATCCGTAATTCCCACTGGGAAGTGTAGACCTGCTGCACTATCATTTATTCCCACTCTTTCTAGTTTTTTCCCTCGCCCTTGAGGGATTTACTATTGTTCTCTGGCTCGATACTTCTCTTCTTTCATGGGTGAATAAGTATGTGAACGAATGTTTAGAATGCCGAACAAGATTTTTAGAATAATCTGAAAATTCACGTAAATTAGAGAATTTTCTTCGCTCTTCGAGGAAAAAAATTAGCTAAATATTTGATTGCCCCAGAAAGGTGTTTTTACTTTAACAATAAGCAAATCGCCGTCCGATAATATTGTGCGCATCCTCCGTGACTCTCTGACTGGTAAAACTCAATTGAGCCCCAGTTGAGTCGACGAGACGGAGGATCAAGGGGGACGGACTAACACGATCTGTCGAGTTTCACACTCACGGGACTCTGTCATCCGCCTCTCAGTGGATTCTCGCTGCTGCACAACTTCATTCCATCGGGGCTTTCCTGAGCCCCCTCCCCCCTTCCCCCACTCCAAAAACTACGTATTTCATTTAGCCCAGTGAAAACTTTTCTCACTCTGGGAATTAAACGAGTGAACGTTTGCCACTTTGTATTGTTTGCATCGTAACAACTCATTTAGCTCTGAATGTAAATTTTGATTTTATTCTCCCCCCGGATTTTTGGTTTGAGTTGATGAAGACGCCTGGATAATCCAGGGGGAGTTTAATTGAAGCGTGCACGGAAAATTCAAATGAACGCTCGCTCTACTCAACTAAACAAAGTGCCTGGTGGTTCTCTTTGAATTCGAGGGATCGGGGAGTTGCTTAGCAAATACTAGGGGAAATTGAATGAGAAAGCCCAGGTGAGAGTTAAATAGAAACTCCGGAATATGCCCAGCATTCAGGTATTTCTATTAATAATTCCCCCCCCCCTCGATAATTCAGCTCTTGGAGACGAGGAATTTTCTGGTTAATGTCTTCAGGATCTCTTTGATTTTCAATTGCAGATGCACTTTGTCTTCTTCATTTAAAACTCAAGCGAGTGGACCTTCATAATGCATTGAATTTTGAAATGAACACTGATTAAATTAATTGTGTTCATATTTATGCAGACAATAAGAAATTCTATCCAAGAATTTCCATGGAAATTCTATTGGAATTCTATTGGAGAATTCCATTTATTTTTTGCGCCAATTCTGTTAAAAATTATGCATTTTTCCTTTTTGATTTCTCATTACAAAATTCACGAAAAAAAATAGGAATTGTCATTCTCCTAGGAAAAATCCCGATAGAATAACTAATGCTGCAAAATCCACATCTATTTATTTTTTCAATCAAAACAATTCCTTTGATTTTCAATTGCAGATGCATTTTGTTTTCTTCATTTAAAACTCAAGCGAATACATTGAATTTTGGAATGAACACTGATTAAATTAATTGTGTTCATATTTATGCAGACAATAAGAAATTCTATCCAAGAATTTCCATGGAAATTCTATTGGAATTCTATTGGAGAATTCCATTTATTTTTTGCGCCAATTCTGNATTCACGAAAAAAAATAGGAATTGTCATTCTCCTAGGAAAAATCCCGATAGAATAACTAATGCTGGAAAATCCACATCTATTTATTTTTTCAATCGAAAAAATTCCTTTGATTTTCAATTGCAGATGCATTTTGTGTTCTTCATTTAAAACTCAAGCGGATACATTGAATTTTGGAATGAACGCTGATTAAATTAATTGTGTTCATATTTATGCAGACAATAAGAAATTCTATCCAAGAATTTCCATGGAAATTCTATTGGAATTATACTGGAGAATTCCATTTATTTTTTACGCCATTTCTGTTAAAAATTATGCATTTTCCCTCTTTGATTTCTCATTACAAAATTCACGAAAAAAAATAGGAATTGTCATTCTCCTAGGAAAAATCCCGATAGAATAACTAATGCTGGAAAATCCACATCTATTTATTTTTTCAATCGAAAAAATTCCTTTGATTTTCAATTGCAGATGTATTTTGTCTTCTTCATTTAAAACTCAAGCGGATACATTGAATTTTGGAATGAACGCTGATTAAATTAATTGTGTTCATATGTATGCAGACAATAAGAAATTCTATCCAAGAATTTCCATGGAAATTCTATTGGAATTATACTGGAGAATTCCATTTATTTTTTGCGCCATTTCTGTTAAAAATTATGCATTTTCCCTCTTTGATTTCTCATTACAAAATTCACGAAAAAAAAATAGGAATTGTCATTCTCCTAGGAAAAATCCCGATAGAATAACTAATGCTGGAAAATCCGCATCTATTCATTTTTTCAATGGAAAAAATTCCTTTGATTTTCAATTGCAGATGCACTTTGTCTCCTCACTTCAACATTGAAGCGAGCGACGTGCCTCCATAATAGCACGAAAATGCATCATCTCCGTTCTAAACCAGGTATCTCGCTCAGGAAATTGCAAATCCCCTCGTCCAGACGAGCCTCGTATCTCGCTTTAACCCTTTCATACTTTCGCCAGTGCTTTTCACCCCCCTACAAGCGATAAACCCGATTTTTTTCCACTCAAAGCTTCCCGGGGGTTTAAAGTACTGAGGCTGAGGATAGAAAAGACCTAGATCTCGGTGTTTAGGTACATCAAGTGAGCTCACGTGCGCTCAATCCTTCGAAATCCAACTTCCACCGACTCTGCGGTGGAATAGTATTGTATTAAAACGCCTCAAGGTTCTTCGTTCAATTGAGAATTTTCCTATTCTTCATTCGAGTCCATATTTTTTTTCAACTGCACTTCAAATATCGTATTATTGATTTAAGGGTGTGATTAGCGAGTTGAGGTACACGTAAGAAATAATTTCATAGAAAAAAAATTAACGTTGAGGCAATGTTGGCTGCCGACGTTGGGCCAATGTTGCCTGCCAACGTTGGGCCAGTGTTCAGGGCCAACGTCGGCCCAAATATTCACTACCAACATTGGGCTGATGTTGACTGCCAACATTGCGCCAATGTTGTTTGCCAACGTTGGGCCAATGTTGGCTGCCGGTGCTGGGTGAACGTCGGCTGCCAACGTTGGGGCAATGTTGGCTGCCAACGTTGGGCCAATATTGTCTATCAATGCTGGGCCAATGTTGAATTCAATAAATCATTGAATTCAATTTAAAATACATCGTCATAGAAATTCCATTCGAAAGCAAATTTCTAATCTATTAGCAAAAATATATCGACTATGAATATGACGAAAGTAATTTCCCACTTGTGCTGAATCGCGATTAGTTTTTCCCCTCGTCACACTCTTAAATTTCCGGAGGATGAAATAAGGAAATGCTAAAATGGTGTTAAAATGTTACGACGTGCATCCAAGAGGCATCAAACTTTACACTTCACTATGGAGACCTGAAACGTTGCCAATAACCCCAAGACGTCCCTCGTGAAGATCCAGGAAGTGATGAGAAAACTGGCTATCGATACCCTTTACGATCCGGAAATATCCCGTTGGGTTTACAGTTAACCGGGGATCACCGGACATCCGCGAGGGTTCATGGGTGGGTGTGGATTACAAGTAGGTACTCACCAACTCCCACTAGGGCGCCTTGGCACAGGTACTGCCTCGATACTAGACACTGGGCTGATGGTCGTGCTGTTACTGAACCCCATGCTGCGCAGCCGAGGGCTGCTGCAAGACCTAAACACGACTGCAGGAGGACAAGGGAACTTATCTCGAGTCCACTCTGAAATCCCTGAAGTACCTGGAATGGTATGAAGTGTTTTTGATTATTGGAAGGAATTCCCTCAAATGGAATTTTTTTATTTCTTATTTCATCTTAAGGGACATTTTTTACATTTCTATTTATGTCCTCCATGAGGCCTCCACAGGACCCTTTTACGACTCCCATATGTTACATTTGACCTTCATATGACCTCAATCTGCCTCTTAGAAGTCGCTTATTTAATTTTCAAAATATGAGACTCACATGACCCTCTTACGACCCGTGTATGACCCTTATTTGACCTTCATATGACCTTCAAAACCCCCACATGACCTTCAAAACCCTCACATGACCTTCAAAACCCTTATATGACCTCCATCTGACTCTTATGGGCCAGACTTTTATTCATTTTTTGAAATATGAGACTCATATGTTCCTCTTACGGCCCCCTATGATCCTTATGTGACCTTAATATGACCTTCAAACCTCTCACATGACCTTCAAAACCCTTATATGACCTTCAAAATCCTTATATGACCTCCATCTGACTCTTATGAGCCAGACTTTTATTCATTTTTTGAAATATGAGACTCATATGTTCCTCTTACGGCCCCTTATGACCCTTATGCGACCTTCATATGACATTTCAAGCCCTCATATGACCTTCAAAACCCTTATATGACCTTCCAAACCCTCATTACCCTATATTTGGACCTTACGAGCCAGACACTTATTCAATTTTTAAAATATAAGACTGACCTTTAACAAAATCGGATATTCTAACTTCTGAACCTTACGACCCTTACCCCCAAGCGTCGTCGGAATTTCTTGCGTTCTCTATTTTTTTCGGCGGCACACGGATAAATTTCTAATACAGAAATTGAAAAATTAAATTGAGTTGATGGCTATTCATTTTTTTTCACTGCTTTCACTCCAATGACCCCCAGAATAAACTGGAAAAAATAAATGAAACAGAAGTTGGTGTGATTCGCACGAAGCCTATGTCGATTAGGTCCCGCAGTTCTCATCCAATCTACCGCCCGTGGAGAATCGTAAAACTCCCGATTGGGTGACGTTATACGACGCTAGGTGGTGAACTAGGGGGGTGGGGACAATGGCACACGTGTCCTCTCTCTCAAGGGTTTAAGGGTGCCGTAAAAACTGTATTTCTTTGACATGAAATCCCTTTTGAACAACTTTCTAATTTCTACAGTCTCGGTTTTTCATAGGAGAATGGTTTCATCAGTTTTTATGGAGGAGGTCGTTATTTTTGTTTTGACAATCGGTTTTACTCAACAATTATATGACGTAAATAATATGAACCAATTCCATTTTTTGATAGATATTTTTTTCTGAAATAAAAAATATAATATATAATATAACTTGAATTTCTAAGTGAATTAAAATGATTTTGAGTAACAAATTATTTATAAATATGAGTAAGTTAATTTCAAAACAGGACGTGAAAAGTTCCAAAATCCAGAACCAAGATTTTCTTAAAAAGAGAACAAATGTCGAATCCTACTAGCTTTACGTAAAAATTATTGAGAATAACAGCTACTGAGAATAACGATAAAGTTTATCTTCAATTTCCAGCAAAAATTCTGGCGACAACAAACTTTTTTTCTCAGTTAAACCCCCAAGTTTACAATTATTCTGCCCTCAGGAGATTCTCCAGCACCTCAGGACACGAATAAAAGTTTCCATCTGTTTACCCCAATAAAATCTAGATAAATTCCTTTCTTTTTGTCACCAATGATCATCTATTCCTGCTCTAGCGCACGCTTTTCTGCTCACCACTCCCTTCGAGAGTTCAAAAGCTGTAATTGAGTTTATTCCCCTCCATCTATTCATGCTACCTACATCCACCGTCCTGAATTATTTTCATCTCCCCCAGGAAAAAACTGTTCTCCTCCTCCCCCCGCCCCATTTCACGTGAAAAAGTTTACCCGCATTTTTTTCATCATATTTCTTTTTGTATTCAACTTACAATGTAAAAGGCCGGTGTATAGAGTCCAAACGCTGCAGAGCCAGCAGCCAGCATGAGCATTCGTACAGGTCGACTCCCTAAGGGGCTCAAGTCCACAAATGGCTGTCGTGGCATTTTATTAGTACTATTTTTTTTCTCCTTAACTTTTGTGCGTTGATTTTTAAGGTGAACTATTGCCCTGCGCTGTGGATGATACAGCGATGCACTTCTGTAGATTAATCCGAGAAAAAATGTCAACGACAATGCACCAGTCACCGACTGAAGTCCCAGCCTCCAGCCAAGGCCTCTAGAATCAGATTTTTTATTTTCTCTCGTGTTTATTCTGGATTTTTTAATTTGCAGTCGTGTTGTGCTCAGATTTTATTCAAATTCAAACTCAATTTTTATTTGCGTTTTATTCACATCAAGTGAGGTTTTTTATATATATTAATAAATCTTTGTTGGATTTAATTTGAACTATGAAACTATGAAACTATGAAACTATAAAACTATAAAACTATTAAATTGTTAAACTATTTGAGAATAGTTAAAAACTATTAGTTAGAAATGAAATAATTTTTGGATCACGAGTTAACTTTAATAGAAGATTTATTTGGGCTTATAAAACCTAAAAATTGAGGTAATTTAAACGCAATTGAGCATAAAAATCATCATTTTCTGAATTACCCCCTAATTTTTAAAGAAATCATACACCTGGCAACACTGGCTTGTGCCCCATTTTTATTGCACTCTCCCATCGGATGGAATATATTATTCCGCGCGTTCATCCGTAAAAAATCTCCCCCGAGTTTTTCTATTTTTTTTTATCCCAGACCAGAGGGTGTGGGCGGGGG